CCTGTCCATAACAGTTACTGTGCCACTTCAAATATGAAACATAGTCATGCAGACATTACTGCCTGGCGGCAGAAATATGTAAGGTGGCAGTATTTCCTTGGACGAACTCGGTCTACTGCTTCTAAAGTTTTTCTACATTGGTTGAACCCGACCTCAGAGATGGCGATACCATGAAAACCGTAGTGCCATTCGAACACGGAGGTCGCCAATGTGCTCAATGCCCTGATCTTTACAATTTTGAGCTTTGAGTACGTCTGCTTTTGTCATGGACAGGCGTGTCACTTACCACCAGGAGTACGACTTGTTTGTCCCATCACTTGATATAAAAAAATGTATGTCGACGAACATAATCCTACCCTCGCATCAAAAGAGAGGCAAAGTCTGAATTATCACGATAACAAAGTAATAAATAAAAATTATTGTTATTAAATAAGATTAATACTATGTAAAATTCGAGATTATTTTGCGTGTAAATATACATACAGGGTGACAAATTTTGTATTATTTTAGAACTTAAATCAGATTTCTGAATAAGTATAGTTGTAGAAATATTATGTGCACTGGATTAGTCTTATCGCTTCATCTTTAGAATACAATAATGCAAAAAAGTGAGCCGTCTCAGTAACTCACGTGTCATTTATAGTGCAAACAACTAGCTTAAATCTTTTACGCATTTGCACTTAATTCTAAACTTGGTAATCTTTATGCGGAAGTAATTTTGTTGAATTAGTAAGAAAAGGGTCGGCAGTCGGTATTTTACGAAGTATGTTACAGGTTACAGGTATAAATAACGACCTGATGAGTGAATAAATAATTGAAAACTAGAATTCAGAAAAAAATATTGAACGCACCCATGACTCTTACGATGGACCAAGATGATTAAGTCTATGTACGTTTTAGTAAAATAAGTGTTAAAGATTTTATTACCCTATTGTTATAGAAAGGATAAGCCGTTCCAAGCGATAAAATTAATTGGTGCAAATAATGTTTATTCAACTACTTCTTCTTCATGTTCATTTATTAATTTATTTCATGCAATTACACAGTAAATCACCAAGGCACTGTTAAATTCATAACTAGATAATTTTAATAATAATGCGCAGACGAGGACGCTCAAACGTCTCACAAAACCTCAAACATTATACTTAATAACTTAATAGCTTCCACGATGGCAACCAAAAAAATTAAGAAACTGAAATTGTTAGCAAAATGTACGGTACAGCTGAGATTTTCTTCACAATTTGAGAAGTAAAAGTTCGTTCTTACTCCATAAACATAAGGCATTTTCGGACCGATTCAAATCAATTCCGCACTACTAAATGTGGTGACACCCTATGACACCTAATCGATTTGAAGTGGCAGGTGCGGTGATACATGAACGGCGTAAGTGGATCCCACGTCACTTGTAGTGTAGTGATTCTCTTATTTGTATTTATCCCATCAATGGTACTTTGTAGGCTTATTATACTCAGAATCCTACTAATAAAATGAAAAAAAAAAACAAAACAAATTATGTGACATTTATTTTTTATTGAATATCATAATGTTTTTACGTGACATGACATTCATGATTTTTTGTGAAAATTCTCCACTAGTTTGTTTTTATTATTGATACAAAGATCGAATATATAATAAGCACTAAGATAAGTCAACAGACACTGGCTCGAGCCCACTCAGATTGAAGGAACGTTGGTTTGTTCGAATTTGGTATCAATAATAAAATAATGTGATATAAAAATTTCACTCTGTATGTGTACAATAGTATATCTTGCAATGTTCCAGATTCGTAAAAATTATCTATGTATGTTTACATGGTCTTTGATAAGTTGGACAAAAACACTGGTACTATTATTTCGGTATGTCAATATTGGTACTTGACACTTGGTGCAACGGGCTGTGCATGTTAATATTATTTGGGTATGTGTTGTCATATTTAAGAACCGAAATAAGGTTAAGATTAGTTTATTTTATCGTAGTTGTTTAATTTTTATAGAGACTTTAACTTCGTGACGCCATATGGTAGATAGTAAGGGGATAGTTAAGCGAGCACACTCGATGTAAACGTATTTTGATGGTGCTGTGTATGTTAGTATCAGTAGCACACCCGGGACACTCCATACAACAGTCGAAAGTTACCTACTACTACTACATACAGCATGGCGCTATCTGCACACGCGCAAATGTATGTGTGAAGTGGCATGGTTACCCACTCGGGTTACTTTCTCGTACAATTACGTGGTCAGGACGGCAACATAGCAAAATCTGTTATCTGCAATTCTATTAATAGAATCCTAATAATTTCACACGTTCATTAGGTATTTATGTCGATATAATATTATATTTTTCATTAATTCACCAATTAGAATAATATTTGGTGCGATAACGGCTTGCCGACAGCCTTATTGCCGTTCCGTCGATGTGACCGTCAATGTGAGGGGCATGTTGCGGTATCTAAAGCTAGGGAGGGGCGGAGAGTGTCCATTCTCGTTACTTTTTTGTCAGTAGTCTCGTTACTCTGTCAGTAGAGCTCCTTGTGATAGAGTGAGTCCAGGGAAGTACTGCTACCTTACCTATTTCTGCCGCAATTACAGGCACATGGGACTTGTTAACTTATGTTTCAGGGTGACGGGCGCAGTGGCAGTGCCCATAAGATCTTTGCGATTTAAAGCTCTCGTCACTTGGAAGCATAAAAAACATACATATACTCGTATATACTTCACGCCCTTTTCAGAATGGAACAAATTCAGTCAAATATCGTACCAAAATAATGTAACTAAATTCTACTAGTGAGTACTAATATCTACTTTAAAAAACTATACCTCCGTTAGAATGAAATTATAACAATGCCAAGGGACATTCGCCATATTGACATCAGAATGGCGTGTATACCTCAAATTATCAATTTTGATTAAGTAATTAAATTATTTTATCTTTAATATTTCTTTTATTGAATATGATCATGCTTTTCCACCATAATATGCATATATTTTTTGTGATAATATTCCACTAATTAATATAGCGCCATCTTTTGTGAATACCTAGTAGCAGTAAACGTACCTGACTCAGTGAAGAAACTTTCATAAGTTTCTCACATGTGGCGCTACGGAAAAAACCGTTTCATTAAACCCAAATAAAGGTTACATAGAGATGTTCGTAAGATCTGCTGACTTGGTCTTTAGTCCAAGTCTGATCGAGGGAATTTTTCTTTGTGTTTGTTAAATTTTTGTATCATTCATAATAATAAACTATACTTAAACTAGTGCATTATTTTAAGTTATTATTCCAAGAAAGTACCCGGAACTCTAGGAAACGCCAACTCTCAGAGAAAAGTTTAAGGAGACTGGTACCATGACGGTGGCATCACAGTACATTTACTGAAATATTTTTTAAGCCCGTAAAAATATACATAATTTCAATAAGAAAGAAGATAGGTATCCATAATATTAACCTTGGAGCTAAGTCCAGCCACCTAAAGCTAAGTTCGTTTAACCAAGGTAAACAACTCTTTTATGGGGAACTGGATACGTTTTTATAATAAGATTCTTTAAGGTTGTCATTTCCTTAGTTTAAAAAATACATTAAAAATATTTTGATTGAAAAGTCATATTACATACTTAATTGAAGACTATGTGTTAGATAAGATGTATGGAAAAACGACACGGCTTGAGAATCCACACAAATTTGACTTAAAGTGTATTCCATAGCATTTAAGTTTATTTGTAAAGAGCAATCCCTAGAGTTTCTAGCTCGTTCTTTTCAGGGAAGTCAGCGTAGTGAACGAGCAGTAGTATAAATGTGACGTTTTCAAAGTACATTTGTTTTACCTATGGAATAAATGATCTTTGACTTTGACTTTGAAGCTAAGATAGCAGTTAGTAAGGACCGAAATGTCTCAATAACTTGAGTGTCTTTTAGTGCCATAACAAATGCCTTAGCAATAGAAAGCATTAATTAATTAAATAATTTAATTAATTGTTTCATTAATTGCGGACGGACGGATGAATGATTGGATGAATAAATTACTTAATTAATGCATAATTAATGGACGAAGGAATTAATTCCACCCATCCATCCATTCATCCATTCATTCACTCATCCATTCATTAATTCACCCAATAATTCATCCATCCATTCATTCGTTCTTAATTCATCCATTCATTCATTCATTAATTTTATCGACAATACTATTGAATTCTTAGGTTTTCGCGATTGCTACACATAGGAAATGAAACTATTTTTCCGGATTTAAATAAAAAAACAAATATACGCGATTTAAATCCGAAATATACGCGATTTAAATCCGGAAAAATAGTTTCATTTCCTATAATACTATTGAATTTAACAAACCGGTAGCGTGTTTCAGGGTAAAACTAATGCCATCTAACGGTGGCGCGATAGAACTGATTGCATGTTAAGGTTATGGTTATTACACTAATACATATTTGGTACGATTTAAGTACACATTAATTTGATAGGTTTAACTGGATACATCCACCATTCTCTCACGAAAAAAGAATTCATTCTTTATTATTCTAACGTTATACCCAAACATTATCCGCGCCACGTGCCCGCCGTGCTCTTGCCAGGCCTTTTTGAGAAAGATATCTATACATCATTGTCAACCCTATGTACAGTGTTGGTCACGGGTCTCACAGGTTACGGGTTTTGATTAATGTCTTAATACACTCATTAAAAAGGTTGAATATATATTTGTAACAAAAGTTCGTGGAATTATTCACATTTGCAAGTTTTATTGAAATGGGTTATCAGAAAGTGCGCGAAACCGGATTCATCTCCTAGTTTACAGGTGGAATATTTCCTTCAAATTTAAATGGGGCTAATATTGAGGTATCCTCTTTTCAACAAAAAATAATCATCAAAATCGGTTCAGAAATGACTTTCGAATGAACGAACACGTAACATACATACAAAAACAATACAGACGAATTGAGAACCTTCTCCTTTTTTTTAAATATATTAACAAAGACTTTTGTTTTTAGAACTGTCCAGATGAAAATGTGCGAAAAGCAGACGCGTGTTCGTCTTTGACAAGCTTAGCTGGATTCAAATACATGTTCGCACAAAGGTAAATTATTGTCTTTACTAACAATAGAGCTCCTTGTGAAAGAGTTTATTTTATTATTAATTTAATTTAATTTAATTTAATTTAATTTTGTGCTGAAATCACAAATTAGAAAACTGAAATAGTACAGCGCCAACAACTGATCTGTGTGTACGCCTCCGTATATTCCAAAAATATTTTGTATTTATTGTAATAAAGATAATATCTCTGGCAATAGGGGGCTGTTCCATTCGGTGGTGTGGGAAAAGTAGCAAAACATTTAATTACAAAACATTTCATCGGTAATTATTTGTTTTTTTTTTATAATATTAAGTGACAAGACGAACAAGTCGTGCTGTTAAGCTACACGCCTGTCCATAACAGTTGTAGTGCCACTCTGAGCATTAAATCGCAAAGAACTGAGGTGCACTTCCACAGCTCCCGTCACCCTGAGACAGTAAGTTGACAAGTCCCATGTGCCTGTAATTTCACCAGCACCCTCACGCTTCAAAGCCGAAACACAGTAATGTTGACATTCCTGCTTGGCGGCAAAAATAGGTAACATGGCAGTACTTTCCTGGACGAACTCTTCCACAAGAAGCAAATTTTGTCCATTATAGCAAAGCTCAAGTCAGTTTAAACTGACCGATTTGAAGTTAAACAATAATTTTCAAACAAATTAAATGACATTTCGTCTCTATTTCTGGTTATATACTCGATGAAAGAAATACTACTACTACCATCACACCTATTTCTGCCGCCAAGCAGTAACGCGAACATTACTGTGTTCCGGTTTTAAAGGGTACGAGGCATATAGGACTTGTCTCAGGGTGTCAGACGTAGTGGCAGTACCCTTCAAGTATACCTATGGGGGAGCGTGTTGCTTACCACCAGACGCATGACTAACACGTCCCATGACTTGATATCACAAAAAAATATAAAATCTTTTTGTCGCTTTCTATGTAGGATTTAAGTTAAGAAACTTCTTTTCGCAGTCGATACGACAATTTGGAAAAGATTCTGCCAGCGGAACAAAGACCGGCGTGGTTTTTGAAACACGTAAGTAAACTTTTTTAGAAATTTAGAATAGAATATAATTGAATAGACATTTATTGCAACGCCACAACACATAGGTACAAAAAAAATATTGATACCACTTAGACAAAGCAAACAAAATAAAAAGACGTAATAAACAAAATTAAAATATAAAAAAATAAATAAAACTAAGTAAGACAAAACAAACAAAAAACAAAAAAAGAACTAAATATAACGACTACAAATGTTGTACTGTCATGTGTGCGGTTGTGGCGTACGCAAAAGGACTTCATTCGGCATAAGCCGCAGCCGTAATTGACTGTGGTGCTGGTTTTCAATGAGCCCTGAGGTGAGATGAGTGACGGACGAGTGACGCAAAGTAAAATAAACTAAAATAAACTGCTTAAATATTTGTGTATGTGTTCTTTGTACGTTGTGTTACTGCTGGGTGCTATATTATAGAATAGAATAGAATAGAATAGAATATATTTATTTGCCAGAATACAGTATATTACAGATCTTGACTTTGAATAGGTACAGTGTACTCAACCTGCAAGCAGGTGTGCAAATATTATAAAATTTAAACAGGTCTCTATTATTACTACATACTTTAAAAACTTATTAAAAATATGTCAATTTATATTAATGACCATTACTTGTAGCACAATCTAAATATTGCTTATTACTATAAAAGCAATGTGTCAAAAGCCATTTTGTCAATTATTGTGATTTAAATTTAGGTCCTTGTAGTAACTTAATATCCCATGGTAAATGATTAAATATTTGTATAGACATGTTGAACGAGTTATTCTCATATATTCCTTTATGGCAGCGAGGTTTAAATAATTGGTGCATAATTTTACGTCTTGTTTGTCTTTGAGTGATTTGACCGTGCGTTTTATAATGTTGAGGGTGATTCTTTACGAATATACATATATCCTTAATGTACATGCATGGCAAAGGCAGTATGTTTAAGTTTTGGAACAAAGGTTTACAACTATCATTTGACCACGCTCCGCAGATCGCCCGAATACACTTCTTCTGCACCTTGAAGGCTTTTTCTAGAGCTACTGAGTTGCCCCATAATACGATACCGTAACTAAGCACAGATGAAACGTAGCCGTGATAGGCCGTTAGTGCAGCTTCCTGAGAGACGGTTTGCCTTAACCTTCGGAGAGCGTAAACAAATCTATTTAGTTTTGCACATATTTGATCGATATGTTCCTTCCAATTTAGATGCTTATCGATGGTCAGCCCGAGAAATTTAAATGCGTCTACATTGTCCAAAGTAACCGAATTATATTGAATTTGTATTGGAATGGGATTTGAGTTGTATGATCTAAATGTCATAACTTTAGTTTTACTTAGATTAATTTTCAAGTCATTATTTTCCATCCAATTCATTACATCTGAAAATGCTTTATTTATGTCCATGTTGAATGTCGATTTGTTTTCGCATTTTATTACAAGTGTTGTATCGTCGGCAAATTGTATACAATTGTGATCAATAGCATGTGGAAGGTCGTTAATGTACAGAAGGAACAATAATGGACCTAGGACGCTACCTTGGGGAATTCCAGCATTAGTTGTTTTACCGTGTGATCTAAAGGTTTGTTTTTTTATTATGCTATTATATTTGTTTTTTCTGAGTCCGTCTATTTCTGTGTATTGTGTTCTATTTTTTAAGTAGCTTTCTAACCAATGAATGGCTGTTCCCCGAATACCGTAAAAGTCAAGCTTTTGTAAGAGTTTGGAATGATTGACAAAGTCGAAGGCTTTACTCATATCCAGAAAAACTGACATCACAGGCGTAGAGACGTTCATGCTTTCCGTTATAATGCGCGAGAATTCAAAACATGCAAGAGTTGTTGAGCTGTGTTTTCGAAATCCAAATTGAGAATGGTTTAAAATTTTATGTTTGTCTAAAAATGAGTTAAGTCTGGTATGTAGAGCTCTTTCAAATATTTTGGATAGAGTAGGGATTAATGTAATTGGCCTATAATTACTGGGGGTCTCTTTATCGCCTTTCTTAAAAAGGGGTTTGGTTATAGATCGTAAAAGTACTTAAATATAGTAAAAAAACATATAAATATACCTACTGTGTGCGTTTATAGTTATATGTAACGTAACAAATAATTAACATAAGTTCCAATGAACTGCAGGCAAAACCAGTATTTTCAGTTATTTCAATTTAATATGATATCCACACTTCCTCGATTTTTTTTACATTTCACACCTTTGGTGTTTTAAGGCCACATCTGCCATCAGGACTGAGGTTTAAATATTCTACGAACGAAATTAGTTGATCACATTTTTATTTCTTAAATATTATAGGAGTTAGGAAATTTCACATGTACCTAATAGTTTCATTCTCACATAAAAATTATAGGATTAATTCGTATTAATTATTAATACGAAGTTCGAACACTTAGAAAAAATTCCTTCGATCCGGCTGGATTCCAGCCAACGTCTTCCAGCAAACCGTGTCAGACGCTATGCCAACTAAGTAACGGAACAAACTAGCGGACCTTACGAATTTTTTTATGTGCTTCTTACAGATCTTTGTTTTTGATTTTTTTTTCCGTAGCGCCATCTGTGAGAAATCTATAAAAGCTTTTCTTCAATCAGCCAGGTACCTTTACAGCTACCACCAGCTGACGAGAGATGTCGCCTTAATAGTTGTAATTTTTAGGTTTAGTTAGTTTAGTCAACAGTTGGCATAGCGTCTGACACGGTTTGCTGGAAGACGTTGGTACGAATCCAGGCGGATCGAATTTTTTCTAAGTGTTCAGTCTTTGTATTAATAATTATTACAAAGTAGTGGAGTACTTTCACAAAAATAATTGAATATCATGGTGGTCAAACATCGTGACATTCAATAAACGTAAAAATTTGTTCATATTATACTTCGCTTGAAAATAGTAGTTTATGTAACTATTACATAATGAAACGCATTACAAGACCAAGGTGGGTTTGGGCTGGGGTTCATAAAAACATCACATGAGTGTTTTAATGCCTAATTATGTACAGTTACATACACTGCTTTATCTACACACAAATTAAAAGCTCTCTGTGATGTGTTCAGGAACCGCACGTTACGACTGGCGAAATGGCGGCAAATAAAAACTTTTGTCACGCATGTCACACAACCGTAGTTTTTATTTAATTCATCTTAGACTATGGATTCCATCCTCTAAGTAAATCATAGACAAACTAGAGTCGGCTCCAACTATCATATCGTTCGATATCAAGTAACGTGTGAAATTTGTCAAAATTGTTTGCTGTAATTGACATTTCATTTTGAATAAAACTTCATCTCGACTGATATTAGAATTGAGGTCGAATCAAATTGTTTTGTTTTTCAGAGATGTTCGAAATTATGTATGTAATAATTACATATATAATAATGTAATAGTAACATCGAACTCGACATTATTATGTAGCACTAATAACATTTTCACAGATAAGTTATTTGTTCTAAGAAAACAGTTTATCTTTATGCTGGTCGTAATTTGCGGCTTTTCAACACATCATAGAGGGATAATGATATGTGTGTATAATAAAAGTTTTTTTAAGTATGATCTCATGCGACTGTATTAAAACAAGGGAGCGAAGTAATTATTTTCTTTATGAGCTTGGTAAACTATACGAAAGAATTGGCTGATTGGGGCATTGTGCAAGGGACAAGAAAGAAGGAGGAGAAGTTAATTAGTTGAAGACGCACTCAAAGAATTTTCTTTCTTCACAGTACTTCAATACAAAATGCTGCGACCTGCCACCCTTATTCAACATTGCGGACCTCGCGACTTGTGGATTTTCCACCATTATCAATTACTACAAGCATCCTCCACGTCAGACTACTTCCGCTACTACTATCACCTTACTTGATAATGTTAAGAGCAAGGTGGCAGAACCTTCTTCCGTAAGTAACTTATTGTTTTTTTTATAAAACACAGACCACTTTCCAATAGTCTGCTTTTTCTCTATTATGGCATATCTTTGTTGAATACAAAACATTGTTTTTTTTTGGAATATGTAGAGACGGGATGAACAAGTCGTGATCCTGATGCTCAGAGCTTTAAATCGCAAAGGTCTGAGGGGCACTGCCACTGAGACCGTCGCCCTGAGACATAAGTTGACAAGTCCCATGCGCCTGTATATTCACATTTACATTACTGCTTGGCGGCAGCATTAGGTAAGTGGCAGCTTTCCTGGATGAGCTCTTTCATCAGGAGCTCTAAAACTGAAATTGTCCTTGTCGAAATGCAACAATGTTTAAAAAAATAATAATTACAATTTCTTTGAAAGAAACTCTGTAGAATTAATTAATTGTTTAATGGTTTCAGTCGGGTAAAAAAGATTTCGGCATTTTATTTATTTTTATTACACTAATAAAATACCTACCTTATATATTAGCATACATAATATTATAACAAAACACTATTTATTTATCGGAATACAGTTATGCTTACATTCTGGTGGGTAGCAGAAATAGATAAGGTTAAGTTAAGCAGTATTTTCCTGGACGAATTTTTTTACAAGGAGTTCTATTTTTTTTCGTGGGGACATCATCCTAAGATACCTGTTGCTTGGCTGCTCCCTCAGCGGAGAGGTTATTTATAAGGCCGGAGTTCTACCGGCTAAAACCCGACGGTTGCCTTCTCGGGTGCTCTAGTGGAAGGGGTCCGGAATCGACATTGCGCATCGGTACCCCCCAGCACGCGGGAAAACTCCTCACGACGAAGCGGGTCACATCGTCCTTTTCGTGTCTGCCAAACTTATCCGATCAGCTGCCAAGGTACTGTTATTCATCTAAGCTAACATTCTCAGCGTTCTTAAATATTGAGTGACACTCAAAGAACGAACACTAAAGGAGCACTCATTATGAAAGAGGTCGCGCGCCAAGCAGTCATTTGTACATTACTGCGTTTCGGTTTTGAAGGGTAATTGGTGCATTATGTTTCTGGATGACGGTCGCAGTTACAGTGCTTCTCAGATCTTGAGTGGCACTGGAACTCTTAGGGGTAAGCGCGTCGCTTACTGAACAAAGTTGCTTAGTCGCGTTAGGTTGTATAAAATAGGTTTGTTTTTTATATTTATTTATGAAATTTATGTTTGACTTTTTTTTTCAGAACGTCAAACATGTATCGATAGAAGGTAACAAAAATTCTGTGCATATGTTGAATATCAGTGACCTGAAAGATTTTAGCTTCAGTAGTGTAAGTATCGTATAAAATATAATTTGTTTAGTAGTGTAGAGCTGCTTGTTATTGAGTTCGCCCAGGGCAAGTACTGCCAACATATCTATTTCTGTCTATGAGTAGTTATGTGAACGTGGGATTACAAATCATAGGCGTAAAATTTCACAAAAACAATTGAATATCATGGTGGTCAAACATTGTGACATTCAATAAATTTAAAATTAACAATTATTAAAGCAACATCTCTTGTTAGCTGCTGGTAGCTGTAAAGTTACGTGGCTGAGTGAAGAAAAACTTTCATAGATTTCTCACAGATGGCGCTACGGCAAAAAGTCATTAAAAACCAAAAACAACGATCTGCAACAAGCACGTACAAAAATTCGTAAGGTCCGCTAGTTTGTTTAGCGGCTTAGTTGGCATAGCGTCAGACACGGTTTGTTGGAAGACGTTGGTTCGAAACTATTCACATCCAAAAAGGAAACAGCCGGTAAAAGATTGCATTAAGGGATGTAATGATCCTCTTCGGGTATAACACAAATAAGTTATAACCTATGGAACGACTATAACAAAATTTATTTATATTGTTGGCTACTGTCTTTCCTCGACTTCACTTATACGATCTTTTTGTCCAGTATTATTATGTTGTTATACGTTTCAGGAACAGGAAGATCCTCTGAACTGCTGCAACATGGACAACTTTATCGACCCCGCCTGGAGATCGGAATGTGGCTTCGAACTTAAATATTCAAACGACGAAAGACTGATTATTGTTAATAGAACTCTTGTACCACCCAGCACTACTCCAGCTCCACCTACTAAACTTAGAGTTAATGATATTAAAGTGTTACCTCTGTCAGTAAGTAGTTTTTCATACTATCATAATTAGATTAATTTTATTATACTTACTATCAAACATACATTTTTTTGTTAGGCCGTACAGTCTCAATGTAGGTGCAATATACATTGAGGTCAATGAATACATAATATTTTTTTACATGACATTTATTTCATTAGACAATAAGTTAAAATATGCAAGTAAGGTACAATAAAATCTTAACTACTAGAAATTAAAGCTAAGATTAAATTATACGAACAAAATTGGGTCCCCGCGGCAAGGTGCCCAAGATTTTTGTAGCGTTCCCCCTTTGTTAATGCGTTGGGCAAGGGTTTCCCATACAATCTATTAATTTTTTCGGATATGTAGAGATGAATTATTTCTTGTACCATAAATGTAATATGTTTACGTGACATACATAGTTACACATTAAGTTACTGTACAACGCTGATTTCGACGCTGATACTGGGGCATAAGAATCATTTTCCATCACTCTAAGCAAAGCTGAAATTTTTATAAAGAATTTGCCAAATAGCCGCGGGGACGTTTACAGTAGGATAAAATTTTCAGGTGGGCGATTTTGATGCTATTTTTTGCACATAATAAGTAGCTGTTACTTCAAAGAGTGTTTTTCAAAAACGTAGTAGAATTATGTCAAGAAACGAACCAATTAACTAATAATAATAATTGTAAAACTCCAATAAGTTTGGAATACTTTTATTCTTTGGATACCTCACACGTAAGTTGTTGTAAGTCAAAATACCACTTTTTGCTTTTTAACTTAAATATATTATCCTTTTTTTTATGTATGTTTTGGGTTCCATGTTCGCAGGGAAATAACGTTAAGTGATTTCTTTACTTTATATATGGTACGAACAATATACATAAAAAGGATGTATTTAAGATTAAAATATGTCTGAGGTATCGGTTAAAACATTGATTAAAGATAATTGTTACATAACAGGTTTGTGTTAAGGCTGTTATCCCGGGAAACTTGGTATAGAAAATTTCGAAAGTCTCGGCATTTTTTTTGGATTTTCGAGACTAGAGCCTGATGTTTTCAGTCTTGGGAATACCCATAGAATACTGGAGTTTTTGAGACATCCAGTCACTTAATTAAATAGTATTGAGAAATCTACTAAATCTGAAACTCATTCATCATCATCATTCATCAGTATTTTTTTTATTCCGATTGCATGTACGTGGCAACAATGTAGAGTGAGCTTAGTATAATCTGTGGAGATTGAAGTGCGATAGTAATAAAACCAGGTCCTCTCTGTCTGAAACCAATGGTTCTGAAACAAAACTTAACGCCCTTTTGTTTGTTTCTTACATGTCCACTATAAAACTGAGAGAAATGACTCATAAATATTTTTTTATTTGATAATACTATACATTACTAAAAAATACATAACAGTTAGCGATTACAATATTAGATTTAAAGCAAATGGCACAACATGCCTCATTACAAACTGTTTAACAAATAATAGGAATGACAAAAAAAAATCAAAAATAAAGATAAGAAAAACACAAAAAAAAAATCATATAACGAATAATAATATGTGCTGTTACGGAATCCGTCATCCACTCAGCATATTGTCGTCACACTGAAGGTGCTACAACGCTGTTTTATAGTACCTAGATCTGGTAATAGAAATTAACATAAAGTATTATTTCTCTTCTAGTGTGAAAAAGAAATCTGCATCTTCCGTCGATTAGACATTGTATCCGAATCAGGCGCTGTCAATAGAGATGCATTTATGAAACTTTTGGACAATATAACTAAGAACCAACCAGAGTGGGACAAAGCTAAAGCTCGGGTGCTCACAAAGTGTTTGCACAAACCTGTGAGGAGCTATACTTACGATTGTAAAATTAATAAGGTTTTAGCTTGTACGTTTGATGTTCTTTCTGAGGTAAGCATAATACGATTAATAGTTGTTAGTATCATTGACTTACAAATAAATGGACAACGGGTCTAATAAAAAAACCACGAAAAAAATGTCCCAAGTCAACCTATTTAAACGTAGTGACATGTAAAGGAATATGAAAAAGCTAAAACGTTGAATTTAAATTGTAATCATCGCAGTACTGTCTAATTTTGCTTGCTTTGCTGTCAGAAGAAACAAACGAAGACTAAAGCGTGAATGACGCTCTGTATACCATTTTAACGCCCTATAAGTTCGGACACTTTTTAGCGCGGACCCGACGTCCATATAATTGTAAGTCAATGGTTAGTATAGTCTAACGCTTATCAATGTGGATGGGGTGGTAATGAGGAGTATACGAAACCAGACAAACGCTACTCAAAGAATTTATGAAACAAGTTCCACAATTTACGGAAGGAAGAAAACAACCGCCACGATATAATGACAAAACATGTTATAAAAAAGCTGGCGAAAACTATATAATTTTGTTAGTAACATTTTGGGTAATTCATTATAAAAAAATAGAGATATTCCATGCAGTCTGATGACTATGTGTGTGTAGATTACAACCCTGGTTCGTACTTAAAATATGGGTTTGATATTATAGGTCCAGTTTTTGATAATAATAATGATAATAACGCACACTCTCAACGTAACGCGCAAACTCATGAGAGAACTAAATGTAGGTCATACAAATATTTCTTCCGGCCCGGGAATGAACCTGGGACCTCTGCGTGGCAGTTCGGCATGGTAACCGTTTGGCCACGAAGGCAGTTAAAGTTGATGTTATTCACATGATGAAAAGTGAGTATCTCTGCCTAAACACCGCAGAAGTGTTGCCAATCGTAGAATACATGATCTCCTATGTTTGAGCTGGCACTCCTGTCGAAAGGCATATTCGAGACTGAAAAATCTGGAATATAGCAATAATGCCTGGTAGTAGAAACAGTATTGAAGTATAGCTTTTAGTTATTACAGTACGAATATTAATCTTTATGGAGACGTGTAACGTGTGACTTTATTTACGTTCTTGTCTGCTGTTTTCAGAACTGCCCTAATGCTACCAAGGATGACCCATGCAAGTAAGTCTAGCTTTAAGACTTTAAGAAATTAAGAACGTCATGTTATTTTATTCTTCAATAAATGAATGAATGCCTTTACTACTCATTAAGAAGTTAAAGGTTTCTTATCACTCTTTTTTTCCCTATATTTTTAACCAGTTACATGCTATGAACGAGTTGATTGGCACGCGGTAGTAGACTCGTTTAAGAAATTAAAAACAGCTTACATTTTTATTAAATGTTAGAATGTTTTAAGACCATAATATTCAATTATTTTTGGGAAATTACTCCTAAAAAGTTAAAAAGCTAAATAGTCGTCGAAAACCAAATACATAGCACATAGAAATTCGTGAGGTCCGTTGGTTCGTTCCGTAGGCTAGTTTGCATAGCGTCTTGCACGGTTTGCTAGGAGACATTTCGAATTGAGTCCGGCCGGACTAATTTTTTTCTAAGTGTTCGATCTTTGTATTCATAATTATAAAAATATCTTTTTTTAGTTTAATACACTAAGCAAATTGTCCTCAAAATTACCAAATTCATTAAACACTCAATAATGAATAGGAAATTACAGGAATTGCTCTACAAATTTTGCTATAACCGGATATCGAAGCGATAAAAAGGAATTTACTTTTCAGACACATTTCCAGAAATCTTTCAGCGATATCTCATGATAATATGACCTGCCAGATTAGTTCATCAAAATATGGACCCGTAAGTATATTATATAAAAATTTGGTAACCTCAAAATATTTTTGCTTAAAATTGCTCTAGAATCGCTTTAGCGTAAATCAGTGGATAATTATTGCCCGATTTAGGGTTAACCCAAAATCTATGAATGAATGAATGAATGTTCACTTTTTGTACAAAGCGATGTAATAGCTGATATAGGTTTTTTATTTGTCAGTTATTGAATAACCCGGAACTAAGGCCAAATCTGCAAAGTTACAACTTTTCAGGAGAGGTTAAAATATTTTACGAGAGAAATTGACGTTAGTCGATGACTTTTTTATGCCTAAATATGACAGTTAAAAAAAGTCACATTATACGATTGACTTACAAATAATTGGACGACGTGTCTAATACAAAACCCACGAAAAAAATGTCCCAAGTCAACCTATTTAAACGTAGTGACATGTAAAGGAATATGAAAAAGCTAAAACGTTGAATTTAAATTGTAATGTCATCGCAGTACTGTCTAATTTTGCTTGTTTCGCTGTCAGTCGAACAAATGAAGACTAAATCGTGAATGACGCTCTGTATACGATTCTAACGTCCTATAAGTTCGGATACTTTTTAGCGCGGACCCGACGTCCATATAATTGTAAGTCAATGCATTATACGTAATCTGTTTCATTTGGTGTGACGTTTTAAGTAATTAATAGATTCTGGCGTTACTTTGCGGAAGTCCATGTTAATAAAAGTGGAAATAATTCAATTTGATACTCCTCGAACCCCGTGACGGTTGAATCGTGCAAAATAGCTGCGCTTATGTCATTGACTTACAATTATATGGACGTCGGGTCCGCCCTAAAAAGTGTCCGAACTTATAGGGCGTTAAAATCGTATGCAGAGCGTCATTCACGCTTTAGTCTTCGTTTGTTCGACTGACAGCGAAGCTAGCAAAATTAGACAGCTGCGATGACATTACAATTTAAATTCAACGTTTTAGCTTTTTCATATTCCTTTACATGTCACTACGTTTAAATAGGTTGACTTGGGACATTTTTTTCGTGGTTTTTGTATTAGATCCGTCGTCCATTTATTTGTAAGTGGCTTATGTTGAATATTTTTCTCATGCAGTTAATTTTATCAGCATAAAATTAATAACACAAACGCAACTACAGTCACAAATACCACCACCAAAAAATGTACCCGACACGTGTTTCGCGTCTCCACAAGTCATCCTCAGGGGCTGGTGATTGTTCGACGCTCGACCAAAGAATGAGCTCGTTCAGAACGGTTGGTATATTTATACCCCGCTATCTCAGTGTTACTATTGTTGAAACTCTAACATACCCGTAATAGAGGTGATTAAGCAATATTCAATAGTTAATTTATTATAAATACAACCCCTGCTGTTATACCTAATTATTTCCATTTGTTCTAAAACACCCAGACATAGTTCTTTTTTGAAAAAAATGTAAGATTTCATAAGAATTGGAATCCGGTAAAATATGATTTGTTTCTAATAAATGTTTAGCGAAATTGGACCTGTCTGGGAGCTTATGCCTAAACGAAGAAACATGCTCTTTATATTTAGTTATAAATTTACGCCCTGTTTGACTTATATATACACTGTTAAGTAGTATTTTCCAGAATATACATGTCTATTCTGGAAAATGAATGAAAGATGAGATGGAAGATGAGCATATTTTGAATTATATTGTGCAGAGGATGAGATACAGCAGATCTTGACGCGTGATTAATTGATGCTTTAGGTATTATACCAAGGGTATTTGTAGATGTAAAACTTATTTAAAGATAAGAACCTGTTTTAGAACGGCATACTGACTTTTGTTGGAACTGTATCGATATAACAATTTACTTGACAAAACTTTGTTATGCCACGATATTGCGTTACAAAGTTTTGATTAACTGAGAACAGCTAGGTTTCTTTCATGCCAGCGCCTTAAAAAAACTAAAAGAACTTACCATGTAACATATCGCACTGCTAATACTATAGTGTATTAACTCAAATTGTGAATTTATTCGGTATGGTTGAAAAACGATTCGTGAAAGATGATTATAATTTATGTATAGGTTAAAATTGATTAGACACCTGAACAGTTTCCTATTTGACAAATAGAAGTATATTTAAAAATAAGTGAAAAATAATTTCATATTTTTGAGTAAGGACTGTTTGTCCTGAACTAGCTCACAAAACGTTTGTCTCATTCTAGGTTAAGTAGATATATTTTAATGGTTTCTTACAATATTCTAATGACAGCTTTATTGACATGTAGAGAAACAAATTTTACGTTCAGAAATGGTATAATCTTGAATTTAAAATTTTTTGAGTTATAACACTACTGTAATAGTAGCGCGGTATGTCCTTTTTTAACACTGTTCTACAATTTATTTGATCTGAAAACTTTCAGAAAAATCGTCGTCTGTTGTGTGAACTTCCAAGTTTTGTGAATTACACGATTCTAAAAGAATGCGGTGTAAATACATTCTACCGAACCGAGATGGAACCAATAGTGCCAAAATACAGAAGTCTAAATCGCGGTTGGTGTTCTTCGTGTGTTACGGTAAGTGACAAACAGCTTTTAATGGTGGTTTCTTTTTTAATCGACTTCAAAAAAGGAGGAGGTTCTCAATTCGAATGTATGTTTTTTTTGTATGTATGTAACGCGATAACTCCAGCTTTTGAGAATCGATTTTGATGATTCTTTTTTTTGTTGGAAAGAGGGTACCTCAGGAATGATCTCATTTAAATTTGAGGAAAATATTCCACCTCTAAGGGTGGCAAACTAGGGGATGAATGACTTTTGAGGTCGGTTTTTTAGTATTCTGTACTGTTTTTTTTATGATGTCAAGTGACCGGACGAGCAAGTCGTGAATCTGGTGGTAATCGACACGCCTGTCCGTAACAGTTGCATTGCCACTCAAAGCTTTAAAAGTCGATACAAAATGGCGTTGGTTGATTCCGCATAGGACGAAAGTGTTGAATTAAATACTTTGGAAAAGATATATAGTAAAATTGAAAATTTATACTGAGTAGCTTACAAACATGATTCCCAGAAATTTTCACGATACAATAAGAACACAAACGTACTTCGAAATTTTACAAATAAACCACTGCATTGATTAGGTACTTTACATATACCAACATCTAGTATATAACCAGAAATAGAGACGAAATAAGGACCTTATATTCCTGGTAACACATTAGCGATACAGGTCTTATAATTATCAACTTTCGTTTGCACTGACGTATAGACAGGCCAACTACTGACCAGTGTGTACGTCTTCGTATATTCCAAAAAATATTCTGTATTTATTGTAATAAAGATAGTATCTGTAATAATGCCGTGCTGTTCTATTCGGTGGCGTGGGAAAAACAGCAAAACATCTAATTACAAAACAAACGGAATCACATTTCGTCGGTAATTAATATTATATATGTAATTTTGCAATTTTCGTCCATTATAGCAAAGCCCAAGTTAACTGGTTAATTTGAAGTGAAACAGTTGACGACACCCGTCAATTGTTTCGAACTCGGGCTAGCCAATCGGAGCGCAGTTGTCACGGTAATGATATGGCAGAATAGTTTTCAAACAAATTAAATGACATTTTTTCTCTATTTCTGGTTACATACTCGATGTATACCAATGATGTTTTTTATATCAACTGACCTTAATAGAACACGTATAGTACCTATGAGATATGCATTTTTCAAATGGCCTATTCCACTAGACCCTACCAGGTATCCCCCCTGGTGGTTATAAGTAGATTTTTTTCCACTTTTTCCTACCATACCATCACTGGTTGGCATAAGTGGAATTTAATTTTCCCTTATCCTTAAAAGTTTCCCACCCACGCAAGGTTAGGAGTCACTACACTTACCGGACACGGAATCGCATTAAGCCGGTCAGAAAAAGCTTTATGTGCATGTTAAAAAAAGACGTTTCGCGTTTCGTTTTCGCCGGGACCGCTCTTATAGATAGATAACACGTTTATTCAGCACAAATACAAACAGAAACAAAACATTTACAATCACTTCACAGAGTATAACATAAAAGCATTTAGAATATTCATTATTAATTTTATACACATTAATATAAAACACATACTGCGAGAAAAACAAATACTATGAGAAAAACAAACAAATACTATAAGAACTGATAAAATTTTAATGTACATACCTACTACTACTACTACTGTTTGACTACAGTTTTTGCTGAAAAGGCCCTGACTCAGCATAAATACTGTAGACCGAGAGAAGTCAAACAGTGCTGGTTTTCTGCCAGTACCATATGGTGAGCGATCGCAGCCCATTAAGCCATACCTAACTCTAAATACTATACATTATATATATATCAAGCAAAAGTGTAAGATGTAAAACAAATAATGTAAATAGTGTAAGTAATGAAGGTAAGCAATATAAATAATAATGTAAGTTTACAAACATAATATTAAATTATAACAATAGCCACCAAATATGAACATATATAGGTACGGAAATATAGGTTTACAGATATCAAACGCATTGATTAGGGAAATATCTATGTAGCGAGACACATCTGCTCTGACAAAAGATGTTTTTTGTATTCACGCTTAAATCGTTTTTTGATTTTGATTGATGTCACGCAATGGAGGAGGAATATCATTCCAGCACTTGCTGGCGCGATACCTGAAACCGCCGTGAAAAGCACTCGTTCTGTGTTTTGGGATATTAATAACATTTTTAGAAACGAATCGGAACATATCCCTCCTAACACGTTGTGACCAATTAATTTTGTGGTATAGATAATCAGGTTTCCGGGTTTCAACTATATCAAACATTAGGCTGGCCAAATATAGCTTCTGACGGGCCTCCATTTTCAGAATGCCGAATTTATTTAGATAGGGCGTGATGGCTTATTACATGGACGCAAAGTTTTTTCTGACTGGTTTAATGCCATTCTAGGCCGATAAATATGGTGACTCCCTTTTTTTCAATTAGATTATCATAAAATGTTTTTACTGCTGATTTATATGTTCTCTTTATGTTTCAGTGCAAAGAATTGACGCATTCTACGAAATGTCTTCTCAATAAAATGGATGTTCTAAGCAAATATAACTTCATAGACTATTTTAAGATGAAGGATCAAATTCGTCGGTTTACGTCGAATAATGAAGACTGGTCCACATTCACCGATATATATCTCAGCAGATTTACATCTATGCTTTTGTATGAAGAATATTGCAGTTCGCCGAAGAAACTTTTAAATATTATTGACGTTATGCTATCTGTAAGTACGAGTATGTGTGTCATAAATATGTTTAGTTTTATGTGAGGTTAGGGTAGACATTGGATGTTGCACCAGAAGGGGACCGATCCCGCTCGGTGGTGGCGTACCTTCGCGGCTGCGGGCTATCGGAATGGGGGCTCCATTCGTCAGTAAGTTTGGCAGCCGTGAGGAGGACAACGGGGCCGTGTGGCCTGCTTCGTCATGAGGTGGGGGAGGGTAGGACGTACACATCCCAGGTGCTAGGAGGGTTCCGGTGCGCAAAGCCGTTCCCGAATCCCTCCCACCACATCACCCGTGAAGGTTGACTGGATGTCGAAAGCGGGGGATCGATTTCAGTAGCTCCTGATGGAAAATATCAGCACTCAGCTTAGCTCGATGCTTCTACTATCTTAAAACAACGCTTTTTAAAGCTTATAGTCAATCTCTTTACTCGAGCAGTCTGTGAGTTAGGTATACGAAACGAGCTATTAACGCCCTGCGCGTGCAATATAATAATGCATTTAGAATGCTGATAGGACTGCCAACCTGGTGTAGTGCATCGGGTATGTTTGCGGTGGTTCACACGGATAGCTTCCAGGCCATCAAGCGCAAAAAGATTGTCTCGCTGATGAGTAACGAGAGGCTCAGTACTAACAGCATTCTAAATGCTACAGCGGGAAGATATAATTGTCCTATCCTGAAACATTGGATAGTGCAAGTTAAGGGCGTAGTCCAGTTTAAAATATAATTAAGTTGCACTGATTATTACTAACCTTGATATAAGTTCTTTTACTAACATGCTATGGATATTTTATGGTCCGAAATAAAAAATTATTATTATCATAAGATTGGCTAAAGGTTGAGGAAGAGATACAACCTAGAACTCTATATTTTTATGCGGTTATCTTTAATGTAATTAAGGATACCAACGTATGGTGGTCGTGGCGTGCCTCACCCGACTACGACATTGAGCGGAGGCACCTAAGACGGTAAGAGAACCTGTAGTTTCCCAATTTGCACAGAAGCAAGGCACTGAGGGAGTTACAGTAGATACAATTCCCACATAACTTTCCTAATCTTCCTTAAAATATCTGGTATCTTTGGAAGATTGAGAGCTTTAACAAAAATCATAATTTAAGTTAAAATAAACGGCTAAAAAAACTATTATTCGTGCCTGCAATAATTTAAGTGTTATTAGGATATATATATTTATAACGCTGCGTTAATGGTCGGTTGAATTTGTGTACGCGATACGCACTACACAAATTTAACTTAATTCATAGTATTGTATCTGATGAACAGAAAAATTAAATAATTATTATTCAATTAAATTATTAGTGGAAATTCGTAAACGGCATTTGAATATTCATATTATATAACTGTACCACTAATTAGACCGTGAATTTGTCTACGTATATATATGTATATGTCTAAAACGTAAAAAAAAAGAGTAAACCTCCGTAATATGAAGCAATTTTATATGGGATTTTTTTTAAACCCCAAATTAGTCATTGTTAAAACAAATACCTAATTCTGGTTCTATGATATTTAAAAGTTCGTACAAAAGTGTTACTCCCATTAAAAACTGTAACATATGGGGAAAAAATCTTGTTACATTTCGGGTTATTAAAATTAACTATAGTCAAAATCTAACTTTATCTATCCGAAACACGTTGGAATAGGCAAAGTATAGGTACCTTTCTAAATTTCTAATAATACATAACCTGGAATGTTTAAAAAAAATCATATTTTTACTTATACCTTTTCCCATATACTCTAGTATTGCAACGTAAATACTTCAAAATATAGAAAAAAAAACAATACTATAACTTCAATTACAATAAATTCTATATAATCTGCTCGTTCCGATTTATGATGATTAATTACGGTATAATTATTTTTTTCAGACTTGCCCCTTATCACGTAGAAAAGACACACAGACATGCAACAAAATATTCGAAGACATAATCAAAACTCCCCGTCGAACAATAAAAAAACACAAAGAAATGTTGGGCCATTTCGAACCACGAATGGAGTACCCGTTACCAGCGTACCATTCATCCCGCCTGGACTGGCAACACGATCGACCAGCATTTACTGTTAAAAAGCAAGTTCATAAGAATCCCTTACACGATTTTGGTATTTTAAATTCGAAAAACGCACCTCCTGTAACAATTATCGATGTTAAACCGCGTGAGGCCAATGATTATGATAATAGAAAGCCTTCAGTTATTTTACCAGTTTATTTAAGATCAGACAAAATTCATGGAAGTCTGAGTAAGTGGCCCAATGATGGCATTTTGAGGAGCGCCGATCCCTATGGTTTGCATAAGCAGATTCTTGCAGCCCAAAATAAAACTGACATTACTAATTCAACAAACTCATAAAGTAGTCGTTTTAATATAAGTATCTAATAAATCGTGAAATATACAATGTTTTTAAACTTTCATTTAGTTTATTTATTTATTTATATTAAGAATTGATTAACGTAGGTACTTTAATGTTGCTGCAAATGTAATTGTGAACATGTGTTTTTAAAGCCTTTTGTGCCTGTTGTTACCGGGCGAGTGAAAGAATTATAATATTAATGTGTGACACCTTTAACGCGTCATTTGCACGTATATTGGCGGCTCCACACGCTTGCCATTTACCGATAGCCCCAAATGTCTACGAACGCTTGGCAAATTAGGTGAGACAAACTTCAGCACCCTCACGCCTGCAAACGCGCAGCTGTGCTGCAGAGAAGATAGAATAGCGGACGTCGAATTTGTGTCTCCTATTACGGCTTGACCTATTTTTATTACAAAAAGAAGCAAGATGAAAGGAATTGTGCGTCTGCTACTTTTTGTCTTTATGGTACTTCCTTATGCTTCGAATTCCAAATGCAAGGTTTTGCTTGGTAGCACTCCAGAAATAATAAATTACTCTCATTTGACCAGTCATCTATTTTCCAAATTTATAACCACGGAAAGCTTCAGGCTCCTAGATTATAATAGTTTTTTTAAAATTCTTTCCGCTAAGGAAAAGGCAAAGGTTTAAAACTTAAAAAAAAAGGTTTAAAAATGTATGAAGACAGTACAGCGTCATTTTAAATATTATACGCCATATCCATCAACCCAACGTAGCAGAAAAGAAACATTTGTCGACACTTCTCAACCAATACTAACTAGCACAAATGTGTGGATACATGGTAAGCGCTTGCCGCAAGCTTCCTTTGATTTATGCGCAAAATCGGACATTTGAACGGGTCGGCGACAAACACATGCAAGCTCGCATAAGCCAATACAAAAGTTAGGTATGCGTGTGGAGCCGGCATAAAGTATGCCGCGTGCAATGGTTTCAATTGGTCGTCTCTGGTAATGAGCCAGCCAATTGCTACAGCCAGTTGGCAACACGTGTAAATAAAGGTTATTTATATATGTTTTTATCTTAGATCAAATACATTAAGACATTAACTCCAGAGATATTTATTTATGTTTATATGTTAGATTCTTTTTGCTGATCTAAGAGATTAGACTTTAGGAACCGTTTGATACATGTAACTCATTTTTTGATAATTTTGTGGATTGGATCGTTTTTGCTTGACTACTATTACTAGTTATGAAATATCATCGAGTATATAACCAGAAATAGAGACGAAATAAGGGCCATAAATTCCTGGTAACACATTAGCGATACAGCTCTTATAAATATCAACTCTCGTTTGCACTGAAACATAGGCAGGCCAACTACTGACCTGTGTCGGAGTGTACGGAGACGTACCCGTATATTCCAAAAAATACTTTGTTTTTTTTTTGCAAAAAGATATATATCTCTAACAATGCCGTTCTATTCGGTGGTGTGGGAAAAACAGCAAAACATCTAATTACAAAACAAACGGAATAACATTTCATCGGTAATTAAATATTAAATATGTAATTTTGCAATTTCGACCATAATAGCAAAGTTCAAGTTAACTGGTCGCTTTGAAGTGAAACAGTTGACGACACCCGTCAATTGTTTCGAACTCTAGCGTCTAGCCAATCGGAGCGCAGTTGTCACAGCAATGATATGGCAGAATAGTTTTCAAACAAATTAAATGACATTTCGTCTCTATTTCTGGTTATATACTCGATGTGAAAAATAAAACAACAGTTTCGAAGCATATCAAAAATATTATAATAATAATATTATTATGTACTGTCACAGTAACTATTGTACTTATTACAATAATAGTATAAATATAACCTTACTTATAAGTAATTTGTTTTGCTTTGTTTGCATTGTCACCAATTTTCTGTCAGTCTTATTTTTGAAAATTTCCGATTACAAATGCAAATGTTATTGTAGTAGTTGCATTTTGAAATACCCAAATAAATAAATTCAATTTAAATGCCATACTTAAACCACTCATTATATTTTTCGTATATATACTAACATCCAACACAAAAATACACAAAAAACGTAATCATGCCTTTATGCACATAATTAGAATACTTAGTCTTAATATTTAAGAAAGTATAATATTTTCAATAAATTATAATAAAGCAAGATGGGCACATGAGTTTAACTCAAAAAAAACTTACAAGTTAAATGTAACAACAATGAATACAAATAAAAACTTATTCTATGTAGAATTTTGAAATAAAAGGCACCCAATTAAATTTTCGTATTACGTACTTACTATGCTTATATAATTATAGGATACTTCTAAATTAATTTAAGTAAAATAAAAGAAATCAAAGCGTTCAGTAAATGGCAAGCAACTATACAAGATATTGTTTATTCGAGTCTAAATCATAAAGAACACTTTACACTGTTTACTGAAGTTTATAGAAATAAAGGATTACATTATTTACATAAAACACAACTCTCATTTCATCACATATAAATAAAAATACTTGATACTATAACAAGTTACAAACGAGAAGTATTTCAGAATGCATACGTTATGAATAGCAAAATATTATTTATCAGAGAAATCATAAATCACAATACAAAAGCAACACTTATACAAACAATAGCCTCTACATACTCTAAGGCATGTTCAAACTGATCGTGTCAAAGTTTCGTATTGATCTGTTATCGCCGTTTAAGCTGTGGGATCCAGCATTGATCCTTGTAAGAATCTCTTGTTGTAAGGATTTTAGCGTCCTTACAGCGGATATGTCGTTTGGCGGGGCCAATAATAAGGCTCTTCTAGCGTGGGGCAGAGCTTCAGATGGCTTGTTGAGGTTAAGAATTGCTCGAGCCATGGCATATGCGCATTCGAAGGCATTCGGACGCAGTACTGAAGCACGAGCTGCGAGATCGAGCGCTTCCGACGGTTCCTGTAATAAACAAGTATACTAAAGTTATTATACTTCCTGTTAAATGCACTACTCAATTTAAATGAATAACTGTAACATGATTGAGGCATGCAAAAACCGAGTGATTTTAGAAACCGGTTTTTTCGGATATTTTTTATTGTCACTCAAATAATTCTTTAAAAGTGCCAGAAAACTGAACTAAGGACTAAGTCGCTAAAACGGCGACACTGTCCGGGAAGGAAAAAATCAAGCCACAAATTTTTTTAAAGTTGCTATTGCTATACTGCTCGCGCAGGCACATCTCGCTCACTTTTCGCTAAACAAAGGTTACCTGCTCTTGTGTATAAATAGTTAGCGTTTATTTATCATTATGAATCATAATACGATGGTATTATGAGTTACAAATTTACGTTTTAATAGTTTTAAGACAAAGTTGCAAACCCGAATTTTCCTTAGCTGAAAACCGGGCTCCAAAATGGACAGTTAATCGGTTTTTTCGGTTAACCGAGTAACCGGTTTGCATGCCCTAAACATGATACATCTACATACATGATAGTTCGTCAAGTTTACCAAAGGTTGCGAACCTTTTTACTCGACATGTAGGTTTCATCGCGATATTTTACTTTACCACCAGAGATTGCTACAAAAATTTAAAAAATGTACGTAACTTAAAGTCATCGGTACAAGCCAAAGGGATTCGAACCGTCGATCTTTCAATTGAAAAAGAATTATTCTTCTACTGAGCTGCTACGCTTACCACAATTTTCAAATATTTACTAATATATTGCTCACCTCACAAAACATGAGGAAGCATATCGAAATATCCGTTAAATTCAACGTGTTGGGACTTACATTCAACTTCCTCTTGCACCGTGACAAGTTCAGCAATAAATTGGTCTTCAATTGTACAAAAGCAGACACGTGCTCATGAGGTACCGGCTGAGTACTCGGGGTAGTCACGCCTTCATCGCTGATGAGAGGGTTGATCTTCTTAAGTGCATAACTGTAGCGATGTGCGGCTTCTGATGGCCTGTTCTTACGGTAGAGCATATTCCCGTCTTCAAGGAGCTTGTTGAGTAGTATCAGCCTGGAACGAATGGTAAAGTAGTTAATACACGTTTTATTCTAACATTTTTTCCGCTCAATGAAAAGCAACAAGCAGGAATCTACTAAAAACAGGGAATTAAATACGATTTTGAGGTCCAAATTCAATTGGTTTACAAGTCAGGCGATTAAGTTGCCCTATTATACTAATAGAATCAAGACGAGTACTGATATTTCTGTTACTTCTCCGTAGAATAAAAATGTACGAAAATATAATCCATAATGTACAAACAAGAAAGCGAGAGAAATGGGAAAAGTTATTTATTACCTTTGTCAGGATTAACATGGATTGATGAAAGGGGTATCTACTTACATAAATTCTGGTTTGCCTGATGCCATGACCCATGTAGTTGGTCCTAATTTCGCACCTTTTCTCAAGAAACAATTGACTACCTGTAATAATAATCCAGTCTTTATTAAGAAGCCTGTGTATATTGCCATTGTTTGACTTAACAGTATAAGTTTTAAATATACTTACGGGAACATTTCGTTGTCCGATAGCTCTGTCTAGAGGTCTAAGGCCGCTGTGGTCCACTCTTTCCAAAGATGCACCTCTTTCAAGGAGAATTTCCACCAAGTCTGCCGGTCCGCCACATGCTAGTCCTAAAGGAGTTCTTCCACTTCCATCGGGTTGATCTAAAATTAGCACCGTACGAATTGTTGAACTAAAAGACACATAGATTCTGATAGATAAATTGAAACAAACCACAGAAAGCGAAAGTTACCAATAGTAGCTCCTTTATCCAGTAGCGATATCACAGTCTGTATTCTTGTTCGTAGTGCAGCCCAACCTAAAGCTGTTATTCCGTCTGAATCAATTGCATCAGGGTCAGCACCTGTAATAGTAAAGTTTACTTTTAAAGCCCATTAATAAAAATCTTTCGTTTGATTTGAATGTAACATGAATAAACTGATTTTGTACCTATCTGAAAAAATAATACCAACCATGAGCCAGCAATATCTCGATAACATCAGTATGACCTTCAGCTGCAGCTAAGATCAGGGGATTTTTCCCTCCAGAACCCATAACATCAGCCCCAGAATCCAAAAGTCGCAGTACAAGAGCTGTTCTACCATTCTTTGCGGCCAAAGCTAGGGGAGACATTTGTCTGGCATTGAGAGAGTAGGGGGTAGCTCCTCGAATGAGAAGCGCATCAGCGATTGCAGCGTTTCCAGTGGAACACGCTGCTGTTAATGCTGTTTCGCCGGTCACTGGACAGATTCCATCCGGCTGAAAAGGATAAACAAATACATAACGTAAGAAACTTTAGTAAGAGTACTAGTAAATATCTCTACTAGATTGGAAATGAATAACGTCAACTACAGAGATTTACAATATTAAAGAAGTATCCTGATTATCGCAAATGCATTGCTGGCTGAGGAAAAATTGATAGGCCAGTGGCATCTACACAGATAGGTTCAGTATAAAGAACCGCCAGTAAAATCATCATCGTATGTTTTTTAGGACGTTTCTATGGTTATAAATTCATTAGCATTACTTACAATTAGTTCAGCTGTATCTAATAGGTATTCCACAATATCTAAGTGACCATTTTGTGCTGCTGCTATCAGCGCATGTCTTGACCCTGGCACAAGTTGTTCAATACTGCCTTCGTCGATGTCTATTGAATTTCTGTCATCTCTACCAGTCTGACATCCTAGCAAATAAATAACTGTGTCACGATGGCCGTTCTTAGCGGCATGTACCAAAGGCGTTTGTTCAGCTGTGTCGGTGTGACTCAAAGACGATCCTGAAAAAATAAGTTACGATCAGTCCGATATAATAAGATACTGGGAGTCTTGAATTATATATTTTTTAAATTTTCTAACCTGCTGCTATAAGTCTTCTTGCAACATCAGTGTGTCCTCTTTGACAGGCCAGGGATAACGCCGAACATCCTTGAGAATTGGTCATTTCCAAATCTGCTCCAAATTCGATCAGTAGTCCAACCATTGCCAAAATACCTTGGTATGAATACATACAGAGTAGTGGAGCATTTCCAAGGCATTCGGTTATTTGATTGGGGGATCCACCCGCAAGTAACATCAGTCTTGACACTTTTACATTAGGCGTGTAAATATTTCTTAGATTTGCAATAGAACCACCTACGCTAGCTGAGCTCGAAGCAACCATCATTGCTTGAAGATCTCTTGGACAAAGTCCTAATTGCGCTGGTCCCATGTTTCTGTACATGTGAGCTTTCAAAATGTGATGGCCTAGTTCCATTGTCTTTTCAGAATCCAACGGCGCTTGTACCCTTGATAATCTGAATGCAATGCCGCAGTGACCGGCCCTCAAATCGCAAAGGAATTTTGAACTTTCATTGTCATCTCGTCTTATCAGCCATTCCCTGAACGATGGATGGAAGAACATGTAGGTGTTATCGATTCTCTTCACCAGAAAGTCGGTCAGGCTTTCGAATCTGTGACAGAACTCATCCCAGGGTAAGAAAGTGTCCACCAGAAGGGAGTTTACCGAGTAGTATATTTCTACCAAAGTCAGTGGGTATAAAGCTGCCAAGCAAACGCTTAAAATGTGAGTTACTTTCTCAAAGGATTGGACTGTAGGGAATCGTAAATTAAATTGAAGCAGGAATATTTGGGCCAAAGATATCGGGACCACTTTATAATTTGTGGATTTCACAACTATGTGACTCCGTTCGAGAAGGTCCAATATTAATTTTAGGAACAAAAATGACCCTTGACTCAAATGGAGAACGTATTGCGCAAATTTCATAACTGAGTTGTGAGCTCCTTCTGACTTTCCTGTTGAACACTTGATGTTTGTCTCAATGATTGGTGCTGCTTGCAGTCTCGTACTGAAATATTCTAGTAAGTCTTTATGAACATTGTCTGAATCATCCAAACTCAACCTCGTATAAGGAAGCTGTTTCGCGATTTCTAAGAACTGTGTTCTCACTGTTGCCACAACTTTCAACCATACAGGCATTTCAGCCACGTGTCTTGCTAAGAAAGACGCAATAGTGTATCCGTGATCTGGTCTGTGGTACTCGGCTTCACAAAGACCATCTACCAGAATTATGCTGTTAGAAGGATCTATGCTACCGTTTCTCCTCAAGATAATCAAAGGCTCAATAATTCCCCTCATGAAAGCTAGATCAGAATCTGCAATGCATTCCTTCAGAGACAAACAAGCTAGTAAATGCGGTTCGCTAAGTAGATATTCTCTGTAAGCTTGGAGACGTGGTGCCTGGCAAAGTTGCGCTGCCAGGGAATGGACGAACTCTCCAACCAGACACGTACTGTTGTTATCGGCCTGAAATGTTCAAAGAATCTTATTAATATTAGCATAAACTTTTAGTACTAGTACCTTTAGTACATTGTCATTTTTATTGATTAACAAAATCTAAACACGTAATTAAAGAATTTTTACCTGACAGAAATGATAAGCAACGACATTAGATGCTAGCTGTGTCAGCATTCCAGCAGTGATTTCTTCAGGTAGCACTTCTCGAATGTCACATTGTTCTCTGAGTTCTTCGTATTCATAATTTCGTTTTCGCCCAAAGCAGGAGTATTCAACAAGCTGCAGAATAAATGCTGTTTTACCAGTTCCTGGGCTTCCGGTTATTAAAATACCTGAAACAGAAAATGCTTTTCTGTACACCATCTTGATTTTTTCGAAAGTTTTAATTCAATATAAAAATGTGGTACTAACCTGAAGAGCTGGATTCCAAAGCTTTATCCATATCTCTCATTAGCCAATGTCTTCCGGAAAACCATGTTTGATTGTCCGTCGATGGAACTTCGAAGAAAAGGGGTCGTAGTGTTAATTGTGGCGATGGATGTACTGTGAAAGTTAAAATTAACTATTATTATCGAGTAATTAGGTTTTCACGAGTGGGTTTTGGATTTTTTTCAGATTTAAAATGGCGTGTATCATTTTGAATAAACCAACGTTTCGGGCTCGTTGTAGGTACCAGGGTCACAGCTGACTATTGTGAGTCCAAACCGGATAAGTGATGCTATTATCAATATACTTTTATGAATACAATAGATTTTCGCTTACCTTTTTTGATTTCGGTTGAAGTCGAAGATTGCTTGCTGTTAACTCTAGCAGAACGTCTGGCAGCAGTTTTCCTGTTTTTGAAAAACCCGCTGGACATTCGAGTTAACTCTTCTGATCTCCCATTTTGGAGAGCTAAAATGTAAATGATAAAATCTTATATTAATATACTGCTGCTCGAGAGACTGTGGCTGGGTTCAGAATTTAAATTGTTAATTTTAATAGTTTTCATTAGCACTGAAATGTTTTGCATGGATCTACATGTTCTCGATTGTGTATTGCTGTTGGAAACCTTTAGATTCCATATTCTACATTATTATTCTGCGGCAAACGACTCATTGCTGTAGGCGCAAAAGACACCGCCTCATTAATGAGTGAGCCACTTTTAAGGTCTTCCAAGTCTAAGAACTCACTGTTAACAGTATGTCGTCTACTACCAGGGCTCGAAGAGGAACAGTTGCTGACTGCAGACAGAGACATTGAAGCAAGAGAGCCAAGAGAGTCCCGTCCCAGGGGAGTCGCTGCTTCCACTTCTGAAGAGCCAGTGAGGGTTGAGACCTGAAAAGATAAAAAAACTATTTTTAAAAATCTAAAATTGAACTTTGAAATAATCAAAGCACTATGTAGAAAAATTGACACAAATTGACGGTTATTTTTTTTTTAATAAAACGGGAATAAGAGGCGGCTCAATCATTAATAAAATATACTGACAGTTGAAGAAATATTGTTTAGCGGGTTCTATTTTTACCAACTTGGTAGAGATAAAACATTTCGGGATCGTTTTATTAATGACGAAAACATATTTACTCACGGGGCTAGTATTATGCGAAGCCAAAGTGTGTGCGTCCAGAGAAGCAAGAGACGTGCAGCTATCCCTAGCTTTGTTTCGAGCACCGCGCCGCTCGCCGAGTAAAAGTCCCAGTCGCATGTGCAGGTCATTTTGCCTGCGTGACTCGTAACCTTGCTTGATGTGACCGCCTTCATCATCTGAAAAATTTTCAATAATGTTTGGTTAAGTTTAGTGATTAAATACATTTAGTTTTCAAGATGAAGTGGAATCTTCATTTTTTGCTCATCGCTTATTTTATCTCGAAGTATCTTTATTTCGAATCGAATTTAACGGAGATTTCACTACATCTTAGTGATAGTAAAAGAAACTGGCGAGATTATTACTAAATCACGACAAAAATCAGGCTAGATGTTGTATGTGCAAAGAAATCAAATGCATTCAACAATTCAGTGCTACATGCTTAGCCTAGATTTCATAAAAAAACAAACCAGCATAGCTGTAAAATGTCGCCATGCATTTACGTGCTACATCGTGTTTATTATATATTTACGACACGTAATAAGCAAAAATGCCGAATCATCGCTGCTGTTTTTGACGTTTGTTGTTGATTATTTCGGGTGCTACGGTTTCTACTTAATTACAATGGGTATAATTTTTCAGGTCCCGTCAAGTTCTTAATCAGTCTATTGATGGCGATTAAGGAGTCTAAAAAAGCCGTTATTGTTTGTAACGACTACTATAATAACTATAATAAAGAATATGCTTCGTGATTATAAACATAAATTATTAACTTATATTATAGTGTAAATTAATCATTTGTGTTTTTATCAGAATACATTATAAATTGTGAAAAAATATGGATGCTACACCTTCAGAAGCTGCACAAGTTGCATACCTTTCGAGTGATCGCTTGTTTTACTAATAAAAACGACATTGCGCAGGAATCACACACTCATTTTAAAGATCAATAGATGCTGAATGTTAACTGTTGCAAATTGGTCAATGTCTACTAATCTAATACCATAAATAACATGAAACATAAAAAAATGCGGTAATTCCATTGACTTACAAATAAATTGTAAGTCAATGGGTAATTCGGTATTTTTGCTCCGAAGTGTATGTCTATGGTTGATTGCGTGTATATCGAAAGCTTTCTAGAATAGCGGCCAGTTTTAAAAGCACTTGTTCCATCAGGAAGATAATTTTAAAAATCTGATTCGTATCTGGTGTGCAAAGTCGACTACTTACCGGCTCATTGACGTCACGTGATTATTTCAATCAATGGAAAATGAATCATATTCACAAACAAATTTTGCACATATTTAAGACAACTGTGTAAGAAATCGGAGAAAAATACAAGTATTTTAATTTGGGACACTTCTTGAAAAGCAGTGACATTACATATACAATGCAAAATACAACAGAAAAGTTGCCAACAATGTACTCCATACAAAAAGAAATACACACATGGTAACCACATAAGAAGTAAAAACGAAAACTTAATTTCCACATACATGTAATATTTTCTAAGACAATGCTAACTCAGTATACAAACCAATAAAATAAAAGTTGCATTGCTAGGAACGTGTTTGTACTCGAATACACAAAAATAATCCTTCGCTTCATGAATTTGCATCTCGAATGCATTGGCATTCGAGATCCTACATACATTGCCCTAAATTGGTGGGGCAATTGAAATCTAGGCTGCGTTCACGGGGTGCGGGGTACAAATCAGTCAGCCAATGACTACGGCCAGTGCAACCTGGCCGAAAGGGTCACGATAATACGTAAGTGGGTAAACATTTATTAAATCGGTTTTATCGCGTTTATCCCCTTTTGCAATATTTGTGTAATGCAACTCAAAAGTATCATAGTGTAAACAATCTACACAGTTAAGAATAAAGGTAGAATCCCGCATTTGGACGAAAATATCACAATTCAATCTGACATGACAGATTCGTGAGACCACGTCTCTATTGTGTGTTAAACGTGTTTTGAAGAAACATCAGAAACTGTATTACATTATCTATATGAAACTTTGATGGAAAATATTCAATGAAAATTCTCATATTAGCAACTTTTGTTTGGGTAAATTTGTCTTGTTTTGGTTTCTCACGGTATAAGATCAAGATTAGTTAGTATTTTCTTCTAATTAAGGTTGTGTTAAGTAAGAGTCGTGCTTTTTGATGCTACTTATACCTTGTATAAAAATTGATTTGGTGTGTACAACACATCGAGTATATAACCAAAAATAGAGACGAAATGTCATTTAATTTGTTTGAAAACTATTCTGCCAAATCATTCCGGTGACAACTGCGCTTCGATGCTTTTTCGGGCTGCCAGCCCGAGTTTGAAACAATTGACGGGTGTCATCAATTGTTTCACTTCCAATCGTCCAGTTTAACTTGAGCTTTGCTGTAATGGACGAAAATTGAAAAATACATATTTAATATTTAATTACCGATGAAATGTGATTCCGGTTGTTTTGTAATTAGATGTTTTGCTGTTTTTTCCACACCACCGAATGGAACAGCCCTCTTAATTGCAGATATTATCTTTATTACAATAAAAACAGAATGTTTTTGGAATATGCGGAGACGTACACACAGGTCAGTTGTTGCCGCTGTACTATTTGAGCTTTCTAATTTGTGATTTCAATGCAAACGAGAGTTGATATTTAAAAGTAATATAAGGCCCATTTGACTGATGAGTTGCCGGGGATGGATGGTCCTTATTTCGTCTCTATTTCTGGTTATATACTCGACAACATAATCTCTTCTAATATAATCAAAGATTATTTATTTATTAGTTTCTTTGTTATCTGTATCTTCTGTAAGTTCTATTTTGTTTGTTGTAAATGTTGAACACTACATTACACACACTTATCACTTTACGTATGTATCAAATCATTATTTAAGTATTCATATATATAAGAATACACCCCACAAGGACACAACATAGTATATTACAGAAATATTTATGTAATTTAATTTGTCCGGTCCGTAACGGAAAAAAATAAGTTGGCGTAGGGTATCGGATAAAGACACATGGCCCTTGATGTTTATGCAGTATATATATATATATATATATGCTTATTTCCTTCCGACATCCTATATAATCAGCCATCACGTAACGACATTCGATCTGCAACGTGTTGTTGTCCAGGTCTTACAGTGGTTTGCGGTGTAAATAGATCTCTGATGCACCTGCGGCGCAGGGCTGTGTGGGAACAGCACGGTTGAATTCCGCGATTTTAATACGATACTGGAGGCTTGGAGATTAGCGAGCGCACAAGCAGAGCGAGGAGCGATATTAATATTACTAATAAAACACCAACAGTTTTTTTAGTTTAGTCATTGGTCTCCAATTTTTGACTGATCTTAAATATGTTTTGTTTTTTTATAGACGGTTTCTTAGGATACCAAAGGGAAGCGGTACGTCACCTTTGCCATGAGTTTATTATGACAATCGATTCTAGTGAAACGAGTCCACTATTTACAATGTAAATATGACTTTTCATGAACTCGGCTAAGTGACAAAATAATTTTTAGCTCTATTTTTAACCGACTTAAAAAAAGTCTCAATTCGACTGTATGTTTTTTTATTATGTATGTTACGCGATAACTCCGGTATTTGTGAACCAATTTTCATGATTCTTTTTTTGTTGGAAAGGGGTTACCCACATAGTGGTCCCATTTAATTCTGAAGAAAATCATCCGCCTTTAAGGATGGCTGTTCACGCATGAAGATTCATTTTTCTAAATAGCGCCTAAATTTTTAAACAATTATTTTAATGGTTGATTTTGCTATTCTCCAATTCAAGGCGTTTTTCTCTCTTAATATACTTTGAGTAGTGAGAACCGATTTTTATCTCATGTGTCAAGTTCCGTACAGTGGCGAATTAGGGGATGAATCCGGGTTTGCGCACTTTCCGGTAACCGATTTCTATAAAACTTGACAAATAGATGTAATTCCACTACTTTTGAAGTCGGTTTTTCTAGTACTCTGTACTGAGATTATTGTTATGTAAATCAGATATTTGACCATTTGTCACTTAGCCCCGTTTTAGTTAGTGGACGGCAGATTTCCGACTCAATATTGACTTAAAAAAGCCATGATAGCTTAATAGTTTGACCTACCGTCTCTTAAGCAGAGACGGTAGGTTCGAGTTCGACCTCTGAGTTTTTCGGAATGTATGTGAGAAATCCAACTTGAAATTTACAACCAGATTATCTATACCATAAAATTAATTGGTCACAACGTGTAAAGGGGAACAAGTTCCGATTAGTTTCTAAAAATGTTATTAACATCCCAAAACGCAGGTCGCAGTGCAAAAAGCAGCCATTCTGACTGCTTTTCGCGGTGGTTTCAGGTATCGAGCCAGTAAGTGCTGGAATGATATTCCTCCTCCATTGCGTGATATCAATAAAAAAAAGGATTTAAGCGTGAATGCAAAAAAACATCTTTCGTCTGAGCAGATATGTCTCGCTACATAGATATTTAAACATAGGGTTGATACCTGTAAATCTGAATTTCCGTATATATATATATTTTCATATTTGGTGGCTATTATTATAATTTAATATTATGCTTGTAAACTTACATTATTATTTATATTGCTTTTCTACATTACTTACACTATTTACATTATTTGCTTTACATTTTACACTTTTACTTGATATATATAGTATTTAGAGTAAGATATATTTGCGTGTGATGCACTTTGGTGGCGTGGCTTAATGGGCTGCTATCGCTCACCTACATATATGGTACTGGCAGAAAACCAGCACTGTTTGTCTTCTCTCGGTCTACAGTATTTATGCTAAGTCAGGGCACAAACTGTAGTCATAAGTACATTAAAATTTTATTCAGTTGTTATAGTATTTGTTTGTTTTTCTCACAGTATTTGTTTTTATCGCAGTGTGTGTTTTATATAAATGTGTATAAAATTAGTAATGAATGTTCTATGTGCTTTTATGTTGTACTCTGTGAAGAGATTGTAAATGTTTTGTTTCTGTTTGTATTGATGCTGAATTTTAAGTGAACTATTAATCTACCCACGTTCAGTATTTAAGAACTTATCAATGAAAACATGTTTTTTATTTTTCCTTAATGTTACCTTGTTGTGGTTATCATTTTGTTCTCCGGGGATAGCGTGTCGTGTTTATCTATCTATCTATCAATGGACTTTTCGGTG